CAAATTTTGCACGCACTAACTACAAATAACTACAAATTTACCGAAGATAAAGATAAACTGATAAAAGTCGAATTAAATTTGTTGTTCTTAGTTTATAAAATATATATACATATATGCATGTATAGTACAAATAATGCATAATATATATATAATAATAATAATATGACAACTATTAACTTTAAAAATTGCAACAAGTTCTTGAATATGTATACTCATATACATATATGCATATACATACATACATACATATAAATATGTACATACTCGCCTAACTGTTACATTTGCAATTGTATTTGCTGATACACATGCTTGTATGCAAGCTCATAGTTGACAATGTACATACGAATGCATGGGTATATATATATATACAAGTATTTTTGACAGCTTTCACATACATATGTATGTACTTGTATGCATGTATGTCTGTATAGATTTATATATGAACATGTTGCTCTTGTTCCCATATTCCATTATAGCTGCGCATGAATTTTCCACCGTTCTTCCAATTGCTAGTAATGCAGGGAGGGTATCAGAATACATACAAATTTATTTTGTCTTCATATACATACAGTCTACACATGTGTGCTGAAATAACATTTTTGTATATAAAGTTAACTATTTACGTACTTACATATATATGTGTATGTACAAATTTTATGATGTACATACATATGTATGTAAAAGCAGAGCCACAATTCAGTTTTTAAAACTTGTGTGTAGAAAACATATACATACATATGTATTTGCTATTAAGGATTTGTACATATGTACATCTGTTGGTATATGTATGCATAGTTAATTATAATTATTTTGTCAGTCAGGAATTGTAAATTGCACATATGCACAAAGTATAAATTGAACTAATTGAATGTATACATATACATACATACGTTCTTAAGTGTAACCATGTCCTTACAAAATCGGACGACACGGAAAAAATGTTACTTATGAACATACATGCACATGTACATATGTATGTAGGTATATGTACATGCACATGGGTATTTCGTACAAATGCTTGTTAACAAGTAGTAGTAGTATATTTAAATTTAAAAAAATGTTATTATACATTAATATATATAATAAATATGTTTTTGTTATTTATATAATCAGTATATATAAATATAGTTGTATATATATACATATATAAAAAATTAGGAAATCTAAATAAAAAAGTTCAATATTTTCAGTCACTTCATATACATACATACACATTTATGTATGTATTTAAGCAGCGTATCACGCTATATATAATGAGGAATATATATATATATACGTAGATGTAAAGAGAGATGTATATATGTATATAAATATATTTATATATATATATGTATAAGAATGTACATCCATATGTACATATGTAAATTTGTATGTACCCCTTAACAATAATACATCGTGTGGAAACATATATATATATATATATATATATATATATATGACCATTTGAATGCTTTTCAGATAGTTTTTTCAGCTATCTGATAAATATAATTTTGTGCGCACATATGCCTATACGTATTTGTCTGTGTGTTTTATTCGTGAGCCTACCAACACATGGGTATATATGTATGTATTTGTGGATGAACGTTAACATATGTATCTACATTTAACTATTATATGCTTGAAAAGTATGTATCTGTCAAATGAATGGTAATGTATATACATACATACAATGTATATTTAATGTATTCCACTATAGAATATACATATTTATGTAAATGGGTGACGGGACCAGGCAGCACGCGACTTATGTATGTGTATATATACCACGAATTGTATTGTTAAACGTCCGTTGGTTAGCAAAGCGAATTCAATACTGATGGCTTCAGATATAAAAAAGCAGCATCAGGAGTAGCTATAGGAAAGCATATCTATATGTGTTTCACATTTCTGTATCCCAGGTCGCCTCTTTATACTGAGAATGTTTTGATATTCTCTCTCTGGTTCAACCGTTTGGTGCTCGGAGAGAAAGTCTCCACCTCTTGGACGCATGACCGGCAAAAGCTTTTCTTCCTTTAGCCTAGTTTGAGCTTTTGAGCTTATATTCTTGATTATCGATAGCAGGTCATGAACTAAATCAATTGATGCCCGTAAACTATGTACACACATATGTATATGTACATCGTTTAAACTTAAATAAACTTTTTATTTTTCAGATTTGTACATTTGTCAGATGTATGTACATACATAGGTTTGTAATAAACTAAAGAGAGCATTTCCAACCCTACAAAATTGAGAGTGAAAATATATATATGCTCGCAAATCATCCGCAAAAAAGTTTCTCATTAGTTGTCCACTCTTGCTATACCCTAAGCCCATAGAACATAGACATGGATAAACAGCCGATCCGAGGGTATTGAGCAATTGAATATATTCTATACTATATATTAATAGCAGTCCAAAAATTGTATTTGGCTGTAAATGGGGACTTCATAGAAATATCGATTAGTCTGGTTTTATTGACGTGCTGGCGACTTTATTCTCAACCTATTCAGATATAATATCTGTTATATTCTGTTATAATGGACTCTCCTGATACGCTAAATTTCAAAATCTACAACGATCTGCGTTTCTCTCCAGTCTGTGGCCTAATCCAGAGGAACTCCAGTCTGGCCAATGGCCTGACCAATAATAACTTCCGACAAAGGCTGAATCGTTTACACCATAGCGACCTGCTGACTACTAGAAGGTGAACTGCAGGTAACCTAATCAACTTCCTATAGTTCGGATGGTATTTAACTAGTCAACGACTTAACTCTTAATCTGCTTACGGTCTACATTTAGTTCCATAAAAAATGATTGACAATTTATGAATTATACTTATGAAAATCGAGAAAGTACGGCACACCGAAAATTGTATACCCTTGTAGATATTTCCCCTGCGGACATGGCTATATTAGCTCGGCATGAGCTAAATATGCTGATCCAGAATATATATTCTATACGTTACACATTTCATGACAAAATTGTGAAATAAATTTGAATAGCCTTCCTTTAGGACTCTAATATATGAACAAGCCTCATTACAGACTCTTTCTAAGCCTGTCTTAATATTTGTTTTATGTACCGTAAAAATTGATTTGGCGCTGAAAAACTTATGTATTTAACTTTAACTTTGCCTAGAAGCTCTTGTTAGTATCCAATCTAACGCTCTGGGCTTAGACGCACCAGATACTAAAATAATAAGGATATTATTAACTAGAATCTAAAGCCAACTAAGACACATAATTAGACCTGTTCTAGAAAATCCATATTTACTACATGTACAGTATAATTTGCTTAGCTGCCTTGATACTTAGCTGCATCGGTAAGATAGCTTTTTTTCTTTTCTGCATCGGTAAGATAGCTTTTTTTCTTTTCTTTTCGCTGCAATAAGAGCTAATTTTGTATGAAATGAATTGCGTTAAGTGCATCTAACTTAACAGCCTTTTTGCATTTATACCAGGGGCTTTATAGCCATTTATAGCCGTTTGTAGCGGGTTTTAGCATAATTTTAGTAGTACTGTCTTTCTTTGAAATTAAAATTAAAATTAAAATATTTCGGGTACCATATGTCCGATTTCGAAATGATATACCTCTTTCTTCCCGTACGGATCCCGACTATCGATTGACACCAAAAAATCTGAGAAAAACTACTTTGTTTTTTGCAAAAATTACGATGTTGGCTGAAAATGGCTGTGACCACGAGTCGAACGAGATCGGGGCTTATTTGGCCGAGATACAGCGATTTAAAAAACGCGAAAAAATGCCGTTATAATTTTGAAGATTTTTCAATTTTTTTGCGATAATTCGGCTAAAAATTGTCCGATTTTCGAAAGTTTTACTTTTTTGAACTCGTACTGATCTCTGGAATCGACTTGCATACCAAGTTTTTTGATTTTGTTAAATTGCGTTAAGTGCATCTGCAACAGCCTTTTGCATTTTAGCGCCTCCTATTGGCAGTAATTTTTGCCAATTTCTATGAATATCATGTAAGCTACCTGCGCCATCTATGATCAGATGTGTTGATTTTTGATTTGTTCTTCTTATGTATAACTGTATAACTGTATTGAACATAAACATAAGTTAAAGTTAAAGTGCAACTTAAAAAAAATAGAGGTTGTTACTCGATTAACTTTTAGAATAAAAATAAATTAAGTTAACTGCCTTTTTAGGATAGCTGCCTCTAATGTCTGTGCAAGGTACTCGAGGCAGCTAAGCAAATTATATCGTATTTCATCGGAGCTTCTTATCGACTAGGGGGTTTAAATTTATATTTATTTATATTTTGTATTTCCTAAAGCCCTATCAATGTGTAATGTCCATATGAACACGTCAAGTATGGCCAAAAACCATGATAGACCTTAACCCTGGGAAATCTGAATAGAAATACAAATACGACAGGTGAATATGTGCTGACAAAGCCAAGACAGGATCGGATCAAAATAATTGCCTATAACAAAACCATTTTTGCCAACATAAATGGGAATATATTTTACTGTCTGGATTCCCCCGAACTACTTTTAGGTACGTACTTTGCTTCTTAATCTAATCGAGGGGGAATACTGTCAAGTTGTCGCATTTGAGTACAGAGACTTCTCTTCTTCCTGCCTCTCTGTATCTCCTACTCAGATTAGGGCAGAGAGGTCATCTCCTCTTGCGCATATTGCTGTCCCATTGCCCTATATCCACAGCTGATTCTTCTGGCAAGAATGCTTATTATATATATATATATATATTATTTAATAATAGCAACTCCTGTATTCGTATTATTTCAGCTGATGTGTATTTCCTGCTCTCATTTCGCACAGACAAAATATTATAGGAAACATTCGTAAAATGTTCACAATGTTCACAGTTAACTCTCGATTATTCGTAAATCAATTGACCTCCATTATCTGTATTATCTTTTTATCTTTATCAGAAAATACATTTTCAAACTTCCGGATAAAAAATTATATATAAAATGTATAGCAAATTTTTGGTTATTCTACTCCAGATATCTCTATTAAAACCATGTTACGTTAATTATGATATTGCTTTATTTTATAAATTATGGAATGCAACTTTCGATCAGGACAACTAAAAAAGTCTTGACATCCTTTAAGTTGTCAGTTTGAATGCAAATACTTAGCTCATTAAATATTTTATATGGGAGTATCATTTAATCGAATTCAGAGTTCCGAGGTCATGCGATTTGTTAAAACCTGAACGCGTCGAGCATTACAGCTTTTACATAGAACATGATCATCCAAAGGATAGCAGCCTCGACCATCAGCTTCAGACGACAATAAGAGGGAACAGTCCTGGTAATACGAAAAAAATACTAGTTAGTAATCTGAGATCTTTTTTTTTTATATATTCAATAATTATTAATAATAATATAATGCGGCTGTAACAAGTAATAATTAATATATATAACAGACAGAAGGATACTCTACAATTCTAAAAAGTATATAGAGAAGTGATATCTGCCGATTTCTGCGTTTGTATAAACACTTCGATCTCTCAGGTTATGGAATCTACTATTGCACATACAGACTACAGAGAATATCGTATATCAACTTGACATAAGCGATAAAAATGCATTTTCATTGTATTTAGTGTATGGTATAGTATATATTTGCCTTAGCCTAACACTATGGGAAATATATTCTTGAAGACTTTCGATGCGTTAGGTGGCTTAATGTATGTGTACAGATACTTCAAACAGAAGATTTATGTTCAAATTTTGAACGATCAAGGCTTTCAAGTTTTGAGAACGGATAGACACGATAGACGAACGGACGACGAGATCTATTGAATTGTTATAGAGTTCGAGATTCTTCTCTGTTCCTTTTACAAACATTTGCACAAAACAATCTATAAAGGTAGAGTTTTCCGAGACAGAGAAGTTTAATTGGAGTCGATATTGTCCGTAAAATATCTTACGAGTAAATATTACACCAACCCTTATTTCTAAGGTTCATTAAAGAGGAAAGATTAATTATTAAAATAACCTTTTGGTTTATGTTATTCAAACAGAAGTTATAATTATAGTACTAAGAACTGATTAACTAAATGAAAAGCCTTACTTTAATCAGTATAGATGACGTCAGTCTTCATTCTTTTCTATCGATTACTAGATATGCTGGGATGGTGAAATAATAGAGCTCTAAACATTTTTGCTGTTAAAATGTTACGATTCTTTCAAACGATTTGGGAATAGCGAATAATTTGGAAATACCTCTGTAGTTTTCGACAACAGATTTACTAAGAGATTCTTTCCATATGCTCGGGAAAAATGAAGTGTTTACAGACAGCACAAAAAGTTTTAAGACAGGTTTCAAAAGTGCTGCAGCACAGTACCGAAGCACACGGTGTGGGAATGATTAAGATCGGAATTAGTTTAAGATCGCTGGGTTGCGAACTTTCAGTAATATTTGGATTTTAGATGCGATTCGACTTCTGTAACTGATGTGGATATGGCTGATTCTTATAATAAATAGAGAAGTAGAATACCAGATCAGTATTCCCACTCTCATCTGCAAGCTTAACCGAAGATGACGGAATAAAAATGATCAGGCCTCGCTGGATAATCAACAAATTCACAGGGCCTGGTAGTTGAATTACCAAATCCAAAGTAGGACGGATGTAGGCTTCAAATCGTGAATGAATCGAACACAAAATCAAATCAAGAGATCTGTCCCTAGACATAACCGGAAATAAGGACAAGAGGGCAACAAAAAGGTTGAATTCATTGGCAACGACAAGGCAACATCTGGAAGATTGAAGTCGATTGAAGAACGACCAAGAGGTCATTATCAGAAAGTTGGAAGGAGATAGAATTAATATGTCTATTAGTGGGGGAATACAGGAACATAATATGAAAACGCAAAAACTACCCACACTTTGACACTTTTTACAGCTATTGAGTATTCCTCGTCCGATGCGGAGGATCGCAATTATGAATCACAAGGTGTGCAAGGCTGGGAGGGAATTTAACAGAGCCTTAGCAAAAAGCGATAGTTTTGAAATTGAAAGCAAGAGAATCTACATAAGGACTAGGAAGTGTCGCTTAAGGACTTCTAACATATTAATAGCCAAAAACACAAGAGATAAAGTTAGTTTTCTGACGCAGCAACTAAATTTGAGGGGACATTAGATGAGATAATAATGAAATCTGTTTATTCTTTTCATCTTTTAATTTTTTTTTTCATTTCAAGTTTTTCAGCCATCACTGTAAAACATATGCTTGTAAATATTTCAGGTTGAACATTTTTTTTTGAACGATTTTATATACCTCGAATAGGCATCGAATAGAATCTTGTAGCTCTTTAGGGCCTACCACGACACCTGACGACTTGGATAAAACGTCTAGTTTTTCTCGTACCAACTTCACACATCGAGCAATCAAACTTGTGTCCACACAGCTACCCGAGTAGCAAAATAGATGACCTGCAGTGTGATCGGTGTTGCAGGCAGCTGATTTTCGGTCGGAGGCTGAAGGACAGTTGCCAACGGCAAGTCACAAGGAGTAGGCTTTCGAGGCCTTGCCGACTCACCCAATAGCTTTATGGCATTGAGTTAAATCTAATCCTGCCGCATAAGCACCTGCACCCTCCCTACTAAAGGCGCAACTATAAGGCAAACCATGGCGTAGCGCAATGGCATCTTCCGGTAGGCCTGTGTAATAAACGCAGCGAAGAGAAATTATTAAGAGCGTACACAGCACAGACAAGAGGCTGAATATTGAAATAGAACAAAGCAAATATTGAAAAACAAAGAAAACATCGAGAGTGAAATCTACTTATAGATTATCGCTTGCGTACAAAACGCAGCGAAGAGAACTTATTAAGAGCGTAAACAGCACAAACAAGAGGCGGAAAAAAAAATAAAAATACAACAAAAATAGTGAAATCTATTTAAAGATGATCGCTTGCGTACAAAACAGGTGGGAGTCGAAAACAAAAACGAACGGTTAACACAAGGAACGGTAAATAATAGAGCAAGCGCACAAACAAAAATGCACAAAACACATTTACGAAGTGACAACTGAATGTGCTTAAATGCACAGGCCACAAATATGCTTTTGTGATAAGACAAAAATAATCGAGCAGGCAAACAGATTCAGTGAATATTATAAATATCAGAGTTTGTTTTAATAAAATTAAAATTCAGTGTATATTATAAATATCAGTTTGTTTAGTAAAATTAAAAAAAAATTATTTTTAGTGATTATTACTATATTTAAGCTTTAAAAATAAAATAACCCTCTTCTACCAGCAGCAAATGCAGTTTGCATTAGCAGTCAGAAAAAAAAATTAATTAAAAAAAAAAACAATTCTCCCAATAAGAACTCGAACTCGTAACATACCACACTGCTTGCCACCGTCTCTTCTCAACAGCCATACGAACCATTAACTTCCGAGGAGAAAAAACCCATTTTATTTATGGACAAATATGGACAAAAGCAAGTAATTACTTAATACATCAAATTTAGGAAATTAAATGCTAAACGGACAGACAGACGGACATGGCTAGATCGACTTAGCCATTGATGCTGATCAAGAATATATACATATACTTTATGGAGTCGGAGATGTTTCCTTCTATCTGTTACATACATTTGCACAAATACAATTTACCCTTTTTACCCATTTCTATTGAGTATCCGCAACAGAAGTAAAACTAAACAAAACCAAGAAATACCGAAGCCTTATTCTGCTTTTGACATTTTAAAATCAGATAAAGAAAAGTGTAAACAATAATAACAAATTAGACTTTTGAACAAAATAAAATAATAATTCAATTCAAATGTAATAGATATTTTATTTTGAGACACAATAATCGCACCATTACCAACACTGATCATATTAAGACAATACAATCAATAGATATATATTTCTTGTCCAAGGGTTGCACAAGGACGTAGTATGTAATGTGAATTCAGCGTAACCAAGTGCCACCCCTGGAAAATCAACTAATTCACGCAGATACAATACCGAGCTTCGACAGAGGTTTCATTAGCTTCTAGATTGAAACATTTATGTTCGTAGGACCAACTCACTATAAGTAGGGAGCACATAGTGCTGTCTTATAAATGAATAAAACATTAAAAAACAAGAAAGAGGTTCTAGTCGGGAGCTTCCGACTAGGGGATACCCTGAACCCTCTTCTTCCAACACCAAATGCAGTTCGCGCTACGCGCTCGTCTGATTTAGTAGTAATAAAGAAAAATGAAAATAAAAAAAAAATTGTTCCCTTGGCAGGGTTCGAACTCGCAACTAACCCCACCACTTACCGTTGCCTCTACTACTCAAGGCCACACCAATAATTGAGCATTAATGAGAAAAAACCAATTAAAATAACCAATAAAAAGAAAACAATACAATCGCAATTGCAATGCTGTTGATAGAATTCAAAGCAGACGCGCATGAATGTGTGTGTGTGTACATGTATACAGAAATTCTTGGAATTTGGGCAGCAGCTATGCTGCTTACACGTGCACACATAACTTTTGGGTTTCTTAACCGATCTTAATGAAATTTTCGACAGTACATTTTATTGTAGAATAGAATATAGAATATTTGTGTATTCTCAAAACTGCAATTGCATATAAATTGTGGCTTAAATTGATGGGCAATACAATTTGGATAATTAACTTGATTTATAGCTTTGAGGTGGTAGCGGGGAGGTGGCGATAGGTATAAAATGAAAGATACTTGATATACATATACTATTCTAGAAGCTACATGTCAAGTTTGGTGACTCTAGCTCATATTATTTGCCGAAATTCCTAAAAAAAAACAGTATTTTGATATCGATTTTTATCGATTACTTGGAAACGGGGCAAGTTATCGAAAGAGAACCTATAGCTATTTCAAGTTTATAGCTCTTAAAGGTTCTGATATCCTTGCGTTCATACATACGGACGGACGGACAGACAGACGGGCGGACAAGGCTAGATCGACTCGGCTATTGATGCTGATCAAGAATATATATACTTAAGGGGTCGGAGATGCTTCCTTCTGCCTGTTACATACATTTGCACAAATACAATATACCCTGTTTACCCATTTTTAATGGGTTCAGGGTATAAAAAAACACAGAACTATTGGTTAATTTGTATGTCAATGCAGTTCGGAACTAGGTATAGGCTATATATATCTTCTTGATACTATCACGATTGAGATTTCTGTATTTGATTGTATTTAAAAAAAAAATGAAGTAAATCATTTTTATTTACTTGTTTTTTATATGCTTACCTCGCATTTATAGCATTCCAGGTGAAAGCTACGATCCAGAGCGACTACGCGCACTGTTTCTTCTTGGCCCGCTTCTGGCATAATTGGCTCTTGGCAGACACAGCACCGAGGCGCGAATTTCCTAAATTTAAATACGTATTAATACATTACATATATACTTTTGAATGGCATGGCTTAACGCACTTGTGGAAATCAGCAATGCAGTAATTTTGATTGGTAGCATCAACTGTGAACGGAATGGCTGGAAATCGAAGAATAAATAATTAAACATCAATTAACAAAAATTAGTAATTAACATTTCGCACCATCCAAACTATTTCCACACACAACACAAGTGAAGCATTGGGGATGATAGGGCTTTCCAGTTGCCCTCAGAATGCGCTCCAAAATTGGTTTCAAGCAGACAGAACATTTTTCAAGTGTCTGTAGGTAATCATGTTCGCAAAACGGTTGCCCTTCCAGGGCATAAAACGGTTTGCCTTGCAAATTGATTTGGCATTCGGTGCAAGTGAAACACGAAATGTGATAAATTTGATCCATTGCTGTACAACCACTGCTCTCGCCCAACACGCGTTCGCCGCATTTAAAGCATCGTCCTGTCGAATACAAAACAACAACAACAAAATGGTATAAGCCTTGACACATTAAAGTTACTTAAATGATTTACTAACCGTAGCTCTCCACTTCACTAGTGGTATCAATCGAGGCTAAATGATATTGTTTCATGTTCTCGCCATTTTCAGTTCGTTGGCAATAGCCAATATTACTTGGATTATGTTCACCTCTTGCCTCGCCATTGGAGTAAAGATGAGTATTTGATTCACTCGCTACTAAAATACTATTGCTCGCACCTGAACTGATGGGTGTGTTACTCTGATTTACGTACGTAGCATATGTATTACAATTAGTACGTGACGATATATCGCTAGGTGGGCGTGGGTTAATAGGCTCATATATCGAGTCATATGTAGAAGAGCTCTACAAAAAAAAAAATAAACAATGAAACAAATTTTTAATCCATTATATATTAAATACAACTTTTTTAAAGCTTAGAAGTTCGATTTTGCGAGATATAGCACAGTGGAACAAGTTTGGTTAATTTGTATCTGTGTAAGAATATCTCTTGAGTTTGTATGTAACATAACAGATATGTGAATGTCGTTAACGTTTTGCAATTGTTAAAGCATGCGCGTTTTTCTTTAATACGAAAACGAACTCTAACGAACTCCAATTGGAACAGACCAATTCGATTCGGGTGGTTCTTTATTTGTATCTGTAGCGCAGGTTGATATTGAATTGATATATATCTTTTAAGTCTTTGTGTTTGCTGCGTCCTCGATTTTCTCCTCGAACAATTCGTTTTCCATCAAAAATAGTTATATGGACGTTTCCACAAAACCATTTCCAATAGATTCTGGAACAGTTTCGAGTGATTCAATCATGCGATTCATTTTGTCAACTCTTTAGCCAAAATCAAGTCAAACAAAAATCCTGCTGCGTCAGATAGTAGCCATCTGAGTGGCTTAGTTGATTTTTGCGCCAGCATCCGACCAGAGCTTCTTGAACAGCAGCACAATCTCCGTATAAGGTATGTGTACAAAACCCTTAAATATGTTTTTGCCCGGATCTGCAAATTAGCTCTTGAGCCGGTACTCTCTGTACTCTGTATGGTGTTGCTATAAACGACGCGTCGATTCTGCTCACAGTCCTCGAGTGAGGAGCTCGTCTTGTGGATAATCTTTGATAGATTCGCCAGCGCCCAAGCTAACAATTTAAGCACCGAGGCATCGCGCTCCTCTTCGTCACTGAATGCCCAGTCGATATTTTGGACCGCCGCCACTCATGTTATCATTATGGCTGTTTCCTGCTATTTATTGTCTTCATTTTGACGAAATTGGAGCCTATTATTTATTAACTTTCACTCGCGTTTTCCGGTACTTTAGTTAAGCCACTGCATCAGGCAGGCGGGCATTACTACATACATATACCGACTCGGCTGTTGATACTTATCAAGAATATACAAGGTATATCGGGTCGGAGACGTCTCGTTGTATGCGTTTTACATTTCGTGACAAGAGTATACAAATGCTTACGCGTAGCTACCTGGGATAATGCACCATAGCCAAAATAGTCCGCACACGTCTTGTTTTGATAGCCCTAAAATGTACATAACACTTTGCTTAATTATTAAATGATCATTTACGTCAAGCGTTTCTCTAAACTTTAAGATAGTTATTATGCAAGCGATGATATTTTACCTTGAGATTTGCGTTCTGTGAACCATAATGATTGGTATAATTTGCGCGTGAAACTGATGGTCCGGCCTTATTATTTGGATTTTCTTGGAAATTCACCGCTTTGCTGAAGACATCACTTGCTCGTCGGAGCTCGCTGTACGAAGAGCTCACCGGACTTGGCGGTGGTGGTAAGTCTTCTTCTGGCTCCTTGTCTAACATTGAGTTTGTCCAAATGGAGAGAATACTTGAATCTGTAAGAATTATTAGACTTTTAATTTTTTATTTTTAATCAGTGTCAATAGCTTAGTCCATATAACTGTCTAGTATAAAACTGTGATAAATTTTTGTGATTGCCATCGGAAAAGCTTCAAAAAAATAACATTAATTTGGGACGTGCTTCACACTTTTAGCAGAATCCAGTCCTCTTGTATCGATAATTCGGCCCAAAGGTTGAAGACTAAGGACAAAGATCTTTAGGAAAATTAATTTGTGTTGTGTTTCTCACATTTCTCTAAAAATACCCCGTTGATGAAAAATGAAGGTCATAAATTGTACGTCAAAAACTTCTTTTCAAATCTACACAAAAACTTAATTTAAACGTGTTTCAGAGTCTTTTATATATCGCCAGAAACTGTGAAAATGTTGAGAAAAATTTGCAATTTTTTGTTTTGCCATAATTAAAATAAAAAATCTTTTTTAAAAAACTTAACTCAATTGATGAACATGTATGAAATGTTACACACTTTTCACAAAACCCACCCCCCTCTTGAACATAATGCGGCTGAAAAGTAGAACTTGACGGAATTTATTTATTGGCAGCAATTTCACCACACGGAAACGAAATAGGCGCAAAACGTTGATTTCAACTATTTTATTTTCGATGGACTTCATTCACTTACATTTAGATGTGGGGTTCCACGAGAGGCGAATGTTTGGAAAATTGATAGAGAAAATTTGTAGCGAAAAACTCGGGAAATACTATTTAGAAATAAACGCGAATAAATGATTATCCCCACTTAGGAAAATTCGCCTCCAGATGAAAGATGGATGTTCAAAGGCCAAAGTTAAATTTAATATGTACGTGTTTTAAATGAGTCGAATGGCATAAAATTTGATGAAGTTTGTTGATAGAAACTTAATATTTATCCGAACTACTTTAGGGTCATTTTAAGTATTAATGACGTCATTGGATACGAGCTCATTAACATTAATCTATATTAGCAATTTTGATGCTATATTTAAGATATGTATATTCATTTTCTTGATAAGGCGAAAAGATGGACATTTAAAAAAGCAGGTAGTCTACATAATGTACTAACTCACCCTTTGGTTGGCAATTTTCTGGTTGCGTGGATAAATGATTGAATGCAGCTTTTGAATCGTGGGTTGGATTCTCGCGAGAAGTTGGCAAATTGCTATAAATTGAAGCAACTGGGCTCCCAAAATTACGGCCACTCAACGACGTGGATGAAAGTTTTGGAATGCTTCTAATAGGTTCTGTGATTTGAGCTTGCGATCCCAACAGCCCCTTTCTTTCCATTTGCTGTTTGTGATACGCCAATGCTTCTAGTTGCTGTTCCAATACAGCTGGGTTATCCAAAGTGGTTTGGCTGTTGCCAGGTTTATCGCCACTGAGTCCTGGATATATGGGTGGCTGCTGCCTACGTAAGAGGTTGGGTCCGCCTTCAGTTCCTTTGGCTTTAGACAATTCCAAACTAAGCAAAGGTTGGGAAAAGAGTGGTTCTCGAGTATCCATAACTTGTTTGCTTAGGGGTACCTAAAAAAAATATGCTCAATTAAAATAAACATAAATGAGTTTGGTTAGGCGTGTGGCTTTACTTGAGGCATTTCATTTGTTTTTTTGAATGGCTTTGGTGGAATGGATGGTGCCGTCTTCGATTTGCTGAGAGTGGCATTCTGTGCAGACCCAGCTTTCTGCTGTAAGTTATCAACTAAAGCTGCTACTTTTCCGGTTCTAACATGTCCATCGTCACACCTCCTATTCAATATTGTTAACTGCTTTAATTGCTCTTCTATGGAATTCATTGTGCCGTTTCCTCTCCCTGCCAATTGAAAACTGACGGAAAATGTGTTATTTGATAAAACAACTAATTTGTTAAACGACTTTCCATCCCACAGTCAACAGTTCATTATCAACGATTGCAGAAAATAAAAATTAATTGATAAATACACAACAGAATTAGGGATGTGAGAACGTTGATAGAAACTATCGTTGCATTATTTTCGGGTAATGTACGTAAGGACTATCGGTATGATTTTTTCCGACTATCGATGATTAGTCAGAAATTATATCGCTTATTCATGTGCATCAAATTAGCGATGTGCATCACATTAGAGGCGGTGACTTAGCATCGTTTTTTGGTACTAAGCACAAAACAAAATAAAATTAATGGCAGAATTGCAAAAAATTAAATTATTTATTGTCTACATGCATTTGTTTTTTACTTTAATATGAGTAAACCTAGGCGTTGAAAAATTAAGTTTTCCCAATATTTTTTAATTTCTAAATCAGGGATGAACGAAAACCGTGTGTTTCGGGTGTAAAGGGCTTTAGGCACTAGTTTTAAACAAAAGGACGGTACAGATTTTGAGAAAATAATTTAAGTGTAAGCCAACCTCATACATTTCAATCAGTAAGTCTATCGAACTGCTAGTTCCAACGCTAACTGAACCACTGATTGGCTACAGTGTTGAACAATTCTATAAAGTATTAGGCGGGAACACATCAATTCAAATTATATGTATTCATAAAAAAACGGAAATGGCTCATAAATAATTAAATAAATAAGTCAAAACAAATTATATGATAAGTATTCAGTCATACCACTAACCAAAAAACATATAGATGGGACATGCCGTGTGATAATAACTACGACAGCTCATCTTCAATATCAGAAGTGGGATCTAGTCCTCGTCAATTAACCATGGAGGATCAACTGCGTATGCTGATGGAACAACAAAACCAAAATTTCCAGGTGTTGGCAAAAGCTTTGCAAGCGTCGGCACGTGAGCCTGTACAAAATGGCGCCGTTAATTTGCCGAAATTTAACGCAGACATTCCTGGATCAGACGCAACGCAATGGTGTGCAACAGTTGATATCGTTTTAAGCGAACAACTACTGCAAGGCAGCTCTTTCATTTTGGCACTAAGTAAATCTCTTGAAGGAAGTGCATCTCAGTGGCTGTCCCAAATTTATAACGCAGGCATAACATGGCCGGAGTTCAAACAGTTATTCGAACTGAGATATGAAAATACAGAGAGGCCAGCAGCCGCATTTTTACATTTGCTTAATAGCCGCCCGAGCAACGGTGAAGGTCTCTCGGTATATGCAAGCCGTTTAGTGACGTCACTCGTGACAAAATGGCGAGACATAAACACTGAGAATATTGCTGTATCAGTTGTTTTGGGACATTTGGCCAACTTTGATCGTCGTGTGCTGAGAATCGCATACACAGCCAATATTCAAAACCGTCGCGACTTACGGAGTGAGCTGCAAGTGTTTGCGCTTGACAAGAGGCCACAACATTTTGGAAGTGAGAATTCGGATGCAAAGCGTCTTAAGATGCTTCCTATCAGGTGTCATCTTTGCGGTAACATGGGGCACAAGAAGGCCGATTACAGGAGTCGAAAGCATTCTGTGGGTACATCGCAGGGACAGGATCACCGAGATCCTCAACCTCTTCAACAGCATGTAAATACATACAGTAAAGAGAGCGGAATTATGTATCGTAGATGAGCCAAAAGCAAGTATGTTGGTGCGAGGTGAGAATATTCCGATTATGTTTGATTCAGGAGCAGAATGCTCGCTAGTTAAAGAAAGTTTTGTAAGTAAATTAAGTGGTAAAAGATCAAGTAATGTTGTAACACTAAAAGGTATTGGCAATGCAAATGTTCATAGTACGATCCAAATTGATTGCGATGTAATGATTGATGGAAATAGTTTAAATGTAATATTTCATGTAATACCAGACGAATGTATGCGAAACAATATTGTGTTAGGTCGTGAAGTTTTAGCTCAAGGATACTCAGCTTTAGTATCCTGTGAGGGAGTAGAGATAGTAAAAGATAAAACAGTAAACGGTACTACTACTTTGTCAAACAATTCATTTGATAAGATAGAAACTGATGTATATGGCGAAGACAAAGACAAATTAAAATCTTACACTGATTCGTTCATAATGAGAACTCCTCAGACCCGTGTCAGTACAGGTGAAATGAGTATTCGGCTGATTGATGAAAACAAAACTGTACAGAGAAGACCATATAGATTTAGCGCAAGTGAAAGAGAGCTAATTCGAGGTAAAATACAAAGTTGTTAGAGTGCAAGGTTATCAGACCCAGTTGTTCTCCGTTTGCCAGTCCTGCGTTGCTGGTCAAAAAAAAGAATGGATCTGCGAGGCTCTGTGTAGACTATAGGGAGTTGAATTCAAATACAGTCGCAGATAAATTTCCTTTACCATTAATAGCTGACCAGATAGCCAGGTTACGAGGAGCGAAATTCTTTACCTGTTTAGACATGGCAAGCGGTTACTATCAGGTTCCAATGCATCCAGAGTCTATTGAATATACTGCGTTTGTTACCCCGGACGGGCAATACGAATTTCTTTCAATGCCGTTTGGACTTAAAAATGCGCCGTCAGTTTCCCAAAGAGCAATATTGAAAGCATTAGGAGCTGTTGCCTATTCATATGTTATTGTCTACATGGATGAAAATATGATTGTAGCTTCAACTAAAGAATTGGCTCTAGAGAGGTTACAAATCGTTTTGAATATTCTTACAAAGGCTGCATTCTCATTTAATGTAGAAAACTGCTTCTTTCTCAGAACTTCTGTCCAGTACTTGGGATATGAGGTGCAGGCAGGTGAGATTCGCCCAAACACACGAAAAATTGAGTCCTTGAGTGCATTGCCCCCTCCTAGATCGGTTACATCGTTGCGTCAATTTATAGGATTGGCATCGTATTTCTGTCAATTTGTTTTTGGTTTTTCACAAGTGATGAAACCTCTATATTCACTTACGTCAAAGAAAAGTAATTTTGAGTGGAAAGATGAATATGAAGATGTTCGTAGAAAAATAATTCACATACTTACTTACAAGCGGATGGCTCACGTCGATTTTTTGTCTAGAAATCCTCTACCTCACAATAAGTTCACCGAAAAGTCAAAGATTGTCGAAAAGCGAATTGAATTAGCTGAGCTTTCAGAAAATTGGATTCGGGCAGAGCAACAAAGAGATGAAGATATTGCTGAGATAATACATAAATAAAATAATGATAACTATCCATTAGAGATTTCGAAGATGTACGATTTAAGAACAGGTGTTCTATATAGAAAGATTCAGAGAATGTGCAAAACTCTTTGTTTACCAGTAGTACGTCGAGCGTTTAGATGGTCGGTTGTAAACCAAGTGCATGAAGCCATTATGCATCTAGGATGGGAAAAGACACTCGATAAAGTATATGACCATTACTGGTTTGAAGGCATGGCTAAATACGTCCGAAAGTTTGTGGAAAACTGCATAACTTGCAGAGTTTCAAAATCAAAGGCAGGAAAGCATTCCATGGCACACAGTGCACATAGACATTTCAGGCAAGCTTAGTGGTAAGAGTGATCGAAAAGAATATGTCATTGTACAGATTGACGCATTTACCAAGTACGTTTATCTGTACCATACTTATACCCTAAGTGCGGAAAGTTGTATTATGGCATTAAAATCCTCGATATCTCTATTTGGCTTGCCGAACCGAGCTGTGGCGAATCAGGGAAGAAGTTTCACGGGTACTAAATTTATAGACTACTGCGCATCTCAAAAGATAAAACTGCACTTGATAGCTACGGGAGCAAGTCGTGCGAATGGTCAAGTGGAAAGGGTGGTGATTGAAGAATCTTTTAACTGCTGTTGACACAAGTGCGCGTTCTTGGCAAGATGCATTGGGAGAGGTCCAGCTAGCCATTAATTGTACAGTAAATAGAGTCACCAAAGCGAGTCCTTTGGAACTGTTAATGGGAAAGGGTTTTAATTCCAATTAGTGAATCTGAAACTTAGGTTAATCTGACCGAAATCAGAAAATTAGCTTCAAAAAATATGGAAATTGCGAGCAAATATGAGAAGTTTAGGTTTGACAGAAACAAGGCAAAGTTAGTAAGATTCAGTGAGGGTGATTTTGTTCTTTTAAACAGCTGTGAAAGACACCAAACGATGCTCGATCCTAAGTTTCGAGGTCCTTTTCAAATAATAAAGGTATTAGATAATGATAGGTATATGCTAAAATGTATGAAGAGTAAGAGACAATACAAATATCCGCATGAGAGCTTAAGAAGTATGCCGGATGGGCAGGTACCAAGCGAGCTAGAAATCGAGGAGAACCCGCTAGGTGAAGCCGTTGAAACAGACGGTAGTGAAACCTTTGAAACAGACGGTAGTGAAACCGTTGAAACAGACGGTAGTGGAACCGTTGAAATAGACGGTAGAGAAACCGTTGAAACAGACGGAAAGAAGCCGTTGTGATTGATTGCTACGTGGCGGTACCTGGCCCTGAAGCTCTAGTAGTTGCTGATGTTGTGGATTCAGAGAAATAAGATCATAACGAAAAAAATATGTTGTTGAAACGCATGTGGTGTAATGTAATTAAATGATTAAAATTTAATGAAGATAATGAAAACGAATATTTTTAAAGAAAATGATAAATAATCTGTTATGTTAAGCGAGTATACTCTAAGAAATTAGTTAGGTATAAAGAAGGTTACTGATTGAAATTAAAGTTTGTTTATAAAGATTACAAAAAAAAATATTGGACAAACAAGGACGTGTAATGTGTCAGAATGGCCGTGTCGGGGAATAGATGATTTGCTTGAATTAAGCGCCTTATCGATAATTACTTTGGGTGTCGATTGTAGATGGTGTTGTATAGGCACTAACCATACAATCACTAACCAAATAACATATAGACCGGACAAACCCTACTTTTGATGGTGACATTCGATATTTCAGCGGCTGGTCCAAA